ACTTTGCATATAGTCTAATCATATTAGCAAATTTCCTCAAAATAATTTGTCTGGTTTTATTATTGCAAGTGGTTCAAGGGGGTATTTAAAACATGGACGCAATTTTGTTGGGAAAACTTGTGTTATTCGACAATAAAGAATGAAAAAACGTGTTTGTTGGGATACAATCGAATGTTTTGACAGGAACGAAAAAACTTTTCATATGAGATTCTTAGGTATTTATCAGATAAACAAATTGAGACCACACGTGATAAGATCCGACTAATAACAAAAATGTTAAGGCCGAAAAACGAGGCAAAATGCAGGTTTTGGCACTTGTTGATAATGCGACCATAACTTCACGCAACAAATTCTTTAAATCCTTAGGATTCATACTTGTGAATAACAACAGTAAAATTGAATTATATTGGTCAACTAGTTTTTTGAGATTATCTGATTGCTTATCCCAAAACACCTGTTTTCCGGTCATCACTACTAGTTTATTGAGCAATATACAGGGTTCGTTCAAAGAGCATTTAATAGCAAAATACACGTGTTTTCCTTGCCGGTATGAATCAGAAACCGTTGCGAAACATAAATGTTATTTTTATGTGAAAAACAAAGCTTTCGTTTTTTTCTTCTAAACAAATTCAGACATTTCGAATTTGTGAGTAATTGAACAAATTCGCTACGATATTCGAAAAACATACCTTACTATACACATTTTAGAACAAAGCGGATGTGTCTATCATCTTTTGTGCGAATTATTCGCAAATACGAAATGTTTGAATTTGTTTAGAAGTAGAACGTAACCCATCCCTTTTTGCATAAAAAAAAACATTTATCTTCCGGAATGGTTTGCAATTTATATCAGCAAGGTGAAGTAGTGTATTTTGCTATAAAATGCCCTTTGAACTAACCCTGCAGGTTGCTCATTAAACTAGTAGTGATGGCTGGAAGACAGGTGTTTTGGGATAAGCAATTAGATATTCTCAAAAAACTGCTTGGCCAGTCTACTCCAATATTGTTTTGGTTATTTAGAATTACGAATCCTATGGATTTGAAGAATTGAGGGTTGAGGGGGTAATTACCACCCCAGACCTATTGCTGATGCTGATTCGAAAAAGCAATTGTTTATTGGAAGGTGGATGTTTGTTTCGGATATTGTTAGTGAATTCTGAAATCTTAATAATTAGGAAGTTTCCTATACAGTCGAAAATACTGCCTATGTTACATGCATTTGATAGTATAACTAGTATCTTTGACAAATCTGAAAGAATTATTTCAATAACTTTAAATTTAAGGAAGTTATGGCAGTTTCTGTGTTGGCTGTTGTAGCCGATCGGCCTCGTGCGTCGAGGTTCGGTAGTGACGTCACATGACGGAATGTCGCGCGTCGTAGTGAAGAGGTCGGACGACACGACGGCATATCACATACATCCTTAGTGCTCAAGCTAACAAGACGTAATTTATTGTTTGAATCTTGGCGTAGACTGTAGTATGGTAGTATATAATAATTAAAATGTAGAAAGGTTTTTTTACGTGCCGATTCCACAAATCTTTTGAAGGTGGACATAATAATGGTAATGAATCTCTTCACAAACAATCCACTTTATGTCAGTACGGAAATATGTAAGTAAGTAAGTAAATAGTATGATTTATTCTATACAACTCTGATAACGTAAATCCATTTTTTCAACCATTTGCCTGCGACTATACCATACTGTGGACTTATAAAAGTGTTTTGATTTGGCTTTATTAATTTTATAAATAGAAGAAAGTGAAAACATGCTCTGCATGCATCAAATAATTTAGGATGACCCAAACTCCAGCGAATACGTTTGATAAATTAATAATAAATTCAATATCGCGCAGTGACCAGAAAATCAACTGTTTGAAGTGAAATTTAATCCAACGCCAATAGAACTTGATGGCCGTCCGGTGTTGACTCACAGCATTTTAATAAGTCTTTCGTAACACTTTACGATGTCCATTTGCACCACTTCTTTCTAATACTTCCCTGTTTTGGCACACAGAAAAAATGTTTATCTGGAGCTGATATGCTAGTATTTGTACATCTAGGTGTAATAAAATATTTGTAGGTTGAACGTTTTACTCACTTTTTACTCATTTTTAACAATAGGGGTGTGTGGCGCGGCGCGGCGGGCGCATCTCCTTGTAGTGGTGCTTCCGTCATGTGACGTCGTCACTCACTCGCACGGCCCACCAAATAATAAACTTCTGACTAGCGTAACTTTGTTATTTTTCAAGATATTCAAAAAAGATTTTCAGCGCTGTACTTAATTTTACTTAGACTATTCATTTTGAAAAATAAGAAACTTCCCCATTGTTTATATAGCTTCTTGAAAGTTTTAAAGTTCTAAACCTACAGCACTGTACTGCACTGCACTTGACTATACGGTAGCTGACGTCATAATGTGTACGAGAGAGAAGCGTGCAATATGTATGTTAGAAAGAGTGCACCGATGATATTATGGGGTATTATGTAAAAAACGTAGAAACGTAAAAAAAAAACGTCAATTTTCAAGATGCGTAGTACCCGTGCCGGCAAGCCGCAGCTGCGTCGGTGGCCTCGTCACTCGGGTTGCTAGGCAACGAGGTGCTTCTTTCTTTTTCTAGCACACTTCCACTTGCACACTTCTCTCTCGTACACATAACGACGTCAGTGGTATATGGATTTCACTGTATGTTAAATATAGTGCAAGAGATAAAGTAGATTTGGAGGAGTCCGTTTGCTGCCAGGTGTTTTTCAGTTGTTTGTTCGCTTGCATCACCTTGTTACGCACAAATAGTGTCACCAAAAGCTGCAAAAGCATAACCTTACTATGTAGCAGTCATCGACCACGGTAAAACTTTCAGCTTGTCTTTATGCAATAAATCTTCATGCGATATACGTGTATCACTAAGTGAATCGTTTTCTTCGAACAGTGAACCATTCCAGACTCCCGTGCAACCGTGCAATTATAGCAATTGTCATATGCAATATTTATTCCTTTATTTGTTATTTCTCGGGTATCCAGATTCGGGAGAAAGAAGGTAAATATGTTGTCCACAGGATATATACAGGGTGCTCCGTGAGGAAATGGACATAGTTAAATGGCAGATAGGTAGTATGGACCAAGATATTTTCAAATCTGAAAACAAAGTTCCAAGCTTAGTTTTTACGGAGATATCATAACGTGCCACATATTGAATATCAATATCACATAACTCAGACATTATTTAGCCGATTTCAATGAAATTTTGCAAAATGACAAAGTTATCTAGAAGTAAAGTGAAACTAGACAAACGATTAAAAAATCCAGGGCAAGACTGATTTTTTTTGGCAGTATATTGGCATTTTTTTCCAATAAAATGTTCTACAAGAGGTATGACCCCTGCATTTTGTCTACTTACTATTCCAATGTACTCTAAATATAAGTAGTAGTTGCGCACCAAAATAACCAGTTTAATGGCCAGTTCACGTTTAATGCAACAGTCGCCACGTGACCGCGAGATGGCTGACGATTCTGGATGCGATGTAGATGTGTTCTACTTGCCATTGAATAAACTAAACATGATGTTTCCGTCCGATCGATCAGCATGGCCTAGGATTGGTCTCTTACCCCTATACGAACGAACTAAGGTATCGCAACTGTCCTCCATATCAGAGGTACGGTCTATCGAAACAAGACAGCGCAAAGCGCCATCTTTCACACCAGAATCGACCAATACGGAAAGCGCGTAGCTGCTATTAGTTGGGCCTGCTAGGGATCTCAGTTCGCCCTTAATAGCTCAGTCGCTAAGTGACCGCGAGATGGCTGATGATTCTGGCTGCAAAGTAGATGTGTTCTACTTGCCATTGTATAAACTGACTGGCTACTCATCAGCATGATCTAGGCTTGGTCTCTTGCCTATGGCGTTATATGTATGAGAACTCGCTCGCCGTCTGAGGTATAGTACTGAATACACCCCTGAGCTAAATTTTTATAGCGAAACAGTTATATCTTAATAGATGGCATTTTCAACATCATTTTGTGAATGCGCTGCCCCCCCCCCCCTAGGCGGTAGTGCTGGCTCCAACCATGGATTGTCATAGGCGAAGGATTTCCTCCAGAATTCCAATACTATATATACAGCAAATGAACATACTCGCAAACGGAACGAGATAAAAATCATGCCCTGTACTAAATCCTGAACGAATGCAGCTTCCGAAACAATTCCAAACTCATTGTTATTCCTTTGAAGTACGCAGTCAGTTCTGATATGCCGGAAATAATTTACTCTCTGCTTTCAACTTTTTAGATGTCCTCCAGAGAGTTCTCTTAACTGACAGAAGGAGGTTGTTCAAGACCCTCTCAACAGAATTTAAATACTTGCATAACCCGTTTGCCATTTTAAAGGGTTGGGGTGTTTGTTGTGTGATTTCACGAATAGGATGTCTTCATAATTTAATGTCTACTTAGAAGTATTTAAATATTTAGTCTGAGCGTAATGTTAGTGCAAGAAATATTAACAACACTGCTTCGTCCGTCGACTGGACCAATATTTCCAGCGCTGTGCCATGCGTACTGACAATTATCAGCACAGTCTGAGCAACTTTTTCCATTTAGAGTCAACGTTACTCCCAGATATTTAAAAGACCTAGCGCTTTGTATACGATAACTTCGGACATCCAAATCATGTGTGCCACTCCCACCTATTATCATGTACTCTGTCTTATTAATATTTTATTATTCCTACTTCAGAACTCGAGATCACAATATCATTGCCAAATTAAATAGATTAATTAGCCTGTCACATAAAGGACTCCACGTCACTGACGCCTGCTTCAAAAGGTATTTGAAAAACCGTCTTATGATGTTATAACATTGAAAATTATTTTTCTGAAACCTGTTCAGGTTAGTTTGACTTGTTTGTACTTATATGGTATGTAATAATAATAAAAATAATAATAATAAACGACTTTTATTTGGGGAAACGTTTAGCTACAAGCTACTCGTACCACTTAACCCTAGTTCCTGTCATTTTTCAAATTATGTATGTATTTTATCTATTTTATTTCTTGCATTGCACTACCTGTGACCTATACCTTTATATATCTGAAATTAATAAACGAATTGAATTGAAATGAATTTTATAGAATGTGCTCATATTGCTATTGGTGAAATCTCTTACATACTTGCTCCGCTACATCTAATGACGGCATATCCATATTAAAGCTTACAATTTGAAATGTAATAGATATGATGAGTGAGACTCTATCACAGAAATATTTCTAGCTTCAATATTTGTGAAGATAATATCAATTAGTGTACTGCATGCAGCAACGTGTTTTCTTGCAGATTGCTTGACAAGACTAGCAAGACAAAATTCATAAAATATATGTACGAGCCCCTTCCCACTTCAGTTGGCCCAACTATTGAAATCTTAGTTTTTTTCATATCAAACACAAATAATAAAAATGTAGCAGGGTGTTATAGGTTTAAAATATTATCAATGAATATTTTGGTAATATATAGTAGAAAACACCAACTGTATCACTCACTAATCAAATTTGCAGCATAAAAATAACACATGTTGCAATTACAGCATATCAACCTATTTTCATTTCAATGCAAAATAAGTCTATAACGCATAGGTGGCTGTGAAAAATAAAGGCCATGACAATTGTTTTTATAAATCACAGCTGTCAGAATACGTTTAAAATAGTTTTGGGTAGTTAAGGATTTCAAAATGGGTAGGTGAAAGATTAATGAGAAAATTCGGTTACTGATAATTAAATTTTTTAATTCTGGGAAATCGAACACAGAAATTGCAATTTTGTTAGACTTATCGCGGTACAGTGTGAGAACTATCGTTAGAAGATATAACGTAATTGGTTCAGTTATTATTAAGAGACGATATGTGAAAAAAAGTAATATCACAAATGCCGACCGAAGAGCATTAAAAAGAATAATCGTGAAAAACATGCGTGCCAATTATTTACAATTAAGAGCTCCACAACTCATAGAGAGGCCCACAAACTGGGATTTAGCACTTGCAAGGTACGTTTTCTTATAAAAAAAGTGAAGTAAAAACCTTAAAGTTGCACAACTTGTTTATAGGCCAAAGAAAAGCCACTATTAACTCCACTGCAAAAGAAAAATCGGCTTAGAGCCGTTTTACACACAAGAGAATTACTCCGAAAATTATGGTCATAATTGTGCCGATAATTTTTGCTGTCGTATTACACGTAAAAGAATTCTTGTGAAAATTTTCATGGTAAAAATATAAAACCCGTTCTATAGAATATGCGCGAGAATCGGCGCAGAGGGTTATTTCTGTGCAATATCAAATGTGAACGTTAACAACATAACCTCACTTAACATTTGTGGGTGTGGTCTTGTTCGAGTCGTACCAAGAAGCGTTTATTGTTATTGTTTATTCATAATGTCGTGGAATCGGGAAGAAGTTACACTGTTGTTGGAGGAGTACCAAAAAAGGCCAAACCTGTACAAGGTGAAGTCGTCCAATTACAAAAACAGAAATTTGCCGCGTCAGGTGCTGGATGCTATAGTCCAAGCATTGAGAAGTTTGAAACCTAACGTGACAGCACATGATATACAAGCAATTTCAAAAATAAATTTAAATCAACGACGTCTGTTGTCTTTCCGATTATATTGGACGTCATACCCGTTAAGGTTTTGTGCATTCGAAATATTCGAAAATATTATTACTCTAATGCGCAGGCGTATCATATGAATCACTCGGAAATTTTGTTTGCTTGTGACATACAGGTTGTAGAGAAAACCTTCAATATTCTTTCCATGCAAATTTTCGGCATAATTATGACCATGACGGCTCTTAGATGGGCTAAAGAACATAGACAATTATGGAGACACCTCAACAATGGTGTGCAATACAATGGAGTGATGAGGCCCGATTCGAAGTTTGTGTTGGTGTCAAAAAAATGAAGCATTCCATGTTGACTGTCTGAAGAGAAAAGTGAAATTTCCAGCATCCATGATGGTCTGGGACAGTATGTCATCAAAAGGATTAGGAAAGCTTCATTTTATTGATGGAAATGTGGATACAAATAAATATTTGGCAATGTTAGAAGAATCGCTTTTACCAGTGATTGAAGAATGTTTGACATCCGGCCAAGATTTTGTGTTTCAACTAGATGGTGCAGCGTGCCATACCTCAAAAAAGGCTATAAAATGGATGGAAGAAAAGAATGTACCACTTTTGAAATGGGTTTCTGGCAGTCCAGAACTGCCACCTATTGAAACTTTGTGGCACGGGATGAAAAAGGATCTATGACAACATCCTGCTCGAACAATCACCGAACTGAGACAAAAGCTTCAAGAAATATGGGATTGCTTTACACCAAATTTTTGCGAAAACTTGGTTAACACTATGCTCTAAAGAATTTCAGCCGTAATGAAAAATAAACGTGATGTTACCCAATGGTAGTCTTTCAATTGTTGCTTTGTTAACTTCGCGCATTTATCGCCCATTGTTTATTTGTTCAGATGTTCTATTAGTTATAGATCTAAGTGATTTCAAATATGTATTTTTTACGACTAGAGTGTATCTAAAATGTTTTTGTGAAAATAAATTGTTTTAGAAGTAAATAGTTTCGTCATGTTTAGTTTATAAAGGCATATTTTGGTTCAAATCTTGAAGTGGGCCAACTGAAGTGAGAAGGGGCGTAATAGTTGTCTGCTCTGGATATTATCCTTTAGCAAACCAACATTAATATAACCACAAAATATGTAAAAGTAGTCTTCATTGTAATGTGTTAAAGTTTGATACAGTGATTGGAAAAAACATCAAAGTTACCTAATATACATATATATTGATGAATTTTGTGTTAGGCATATTCAAATTTACTAACGCAGAGCAGATTCAAAATCTTTATCATCATTGAAAGCAGACAAAACTTTCCCCACGTTTCTTACAACACCATTTTTTACAAAAATACATACTCCACCTCTAATGAAATCACTTCTCATTGAAATATGATTAGTTTATAACATCATCAAGTTCATCTGATCATTGTGACAGCTTACCGTACGAATATTTGATACTAAAATGTATCCAATGGAGGTTGTCAAGATCGAATTAACTAAAATAATTTGAATTGTCACAAACAGTACAACTTGAAAAATCACCAAATGGCCAAAGACGTGGACTAGTTGCTTTTTCAAACATGGACTGCCAGATCTTACTTTAAAATCTGTGGGAGTTTTAAAACTTGTTTCTTACATTCAGGTGAGGTCGCTCGGTGAATACTACTAACATGCAACTTACTATGCCTAGGTATTTCTCTTATTGTTTTGTTAATCTGATTGCTCCCAATGACCAAATGCTTGATGATGCTCTAATCACTTCCTGCATATTCTACTGCCTTTTACAGGGCTTTCTTCTTGCAAATGTCGAACAGACGATGGTTGTTTTGAAAGCGCATTGCAATAAGATTTGGTCAACTTCACTTTTGATGTAGCTACACCAAATCGGTGAACGTGTTCATCTTTATTAGCGTGTAGACGCATCAGTTCTATATTGCTTTCAGAAAATATAGTCTGCTGGCTCAACTGTGTGATATATATATATATATATATATATACTTTAATTTCTTTGAGTAAAAGGCAAAGTATTGCAAAAGTACACTTTTATAACTTAAAATCTCAAGCTTTCGAAGAATTTTTTCTTCATCGTTTGGAGCTGGAAACAATTATTAAAATAGCAACTAATAGTAACTAGGAGAAAATTATTTACTTACTAAGTCGGCGAGATTGTTGCTGAAATTGTTTTTTAAACAACAGTGAAGAGAACACATAGTCGACGAATAAAAAACTGGACCGATGAGGTTCGATTAGGACGGAATTATTTTATTGTTAAATGGCAAATCATTTTGAAAGGTTTTAATTAAAATTAGGCGTTGATTGATTTTGGAAGAAATTTGGAGATTTTGAAACTATCAACTATTGAAAATTCCCCCGAGATTTCATCTTCTCTTCCACTAATAACCTCCACATGATCCAACACGTGCCGGCCGACTGACATTCTACAGCAGCGTATGAGGTGTGGCCTTGAAATTTCTTGGTAGGTCACCCATTATGTACTACTGTGAAGTTTGTTGCCTAATAGTAAGGCGTTTTTGTAATGTATAGTGCAAAGGGTTGCGCTATTGTTGACCGTTGAAGTTGCTTTGGAAGGGGTGTGATTTGGATGTTACCCTATCAACTAACTGAAAAATCCGTTGGGGGTATTACCACTTGAGGACGAAAACATTGAGAAATTTTGATTTGATTTTATTAAGATAGTGAAAAATTATTGTGTATAGATTGAGCGATTATTGGGATAAATCTATGCTGGAGGAAATGTGTGTTGCTTTTCTAATTTTTCGCGGTTCAGCAAATATGCGTAGACGACGCTAAGTTGATTGACATCCGCTTTTTTGTTCCTGCAGTTGTCTGTCATAAAGATATGTGACATTTCCAAAAACAGGCGTTTTGATAGATGTTTTTCTCATTCTAGCACCTTGATATCATTGTATCCCATTTGATGCCCTGTGGAATTCACGTGTGAAGATAGAGCATATCTTTCTGGATGCAGCCTGGTATCACTTTTATGTGAGGTTATTCTACCTTTAAGGGATCTTGAGGTTTGATCTATGTATGTGAGATTGCAGTTATTACAAGTGATGGAGTAGACAATGTTGGATAGGACAAGCAGAGAAACTGTATCTTTCAATTTGGAGAAGACATTGTTGACTGATAGATAGATAGATAGATAGTTTATTGTCCTATTAGATCATGTTACATGATATAAGACTTGTCAATATCAATTTGAGGGTCATATATACGTATGTGTTTGAGCAAATATACCAGAAAAATACTTTAATTATAAAATAAATAAGGACATTACAATTACAAAACATTTTAAAAGGTTAAATCACATTATAGGTACAGGTTCAGTGCAAGAATCGTAATGTGTTCAATCTGTAACGGTAAAAATATATACATATACAGCGACTTTTTTTATCACAAAAAATGTTCGTGTAGCCGATAAAAATCATTGAAGCTGATACAAAGAAAAGAAAAGCGGTAGGAGAATCTGTTAGAAATACATAATATATAAACACAATAAACATCGAGCAGTGAGGACAAATGGTTAAAAGCTTAACAAGAAAACATACATACTTTCGTTAAAACTCGAATAAAAAGTGAAATTAAAATACATTTACTCCACGATAATAGACAATTCACTGATAACGAAATGATTAACAGCTTAAAATAATTTAAAAAACAGATACTTTCATGTGTTAGTAAAACTCATGTGGAGAGTAATAGCATTTTTCAACCAGATATTTCCTGAGATGTTTTTTCAGCGCAAGGATATTAGTGCTTCTCCGCAACTCACTCGGCAGATTATTGTATACCTTAGTGCACGCTGGAGTGGGAGATTTTTGGAATAGGGCAGAGTTATGTGTCGGTATACTCAGATCATACCCTATTCTAGTGTTGTATTGACTATTAATGGCGTTGTTACGAACAAATCTATTGCTATGTTCAAATGCGAAGATGGCACATTTGTAGATATGGATGGAAGTTAATGTAAGCAGATTATAGCGTCTAAATATTTCTTTACAAGAGTGCCTCTTATTAATATTAAAAATTAATCGAAGTACTCTTTTCTGCAGGATGAATAATCTGTTAATCATTTTTGCTTGTCCCCATATGATTATATTGTTAGTGAGGTGAGAATAAACTAGCGCGTAGTACATATCTAAGAGTGAGTTTAGATGGATGTTAGGCTTTAATTTCAATATTGCAAAATAAGCACTGTTAATTTTGTTGCAAATGTGATTTATTTGTGGTTGCCAGCTTAAAATACTATCAACATGAGTTCCTAAGAAGACAGTTTGATCTGAAAAGCTATCAATATCCATGCGTGGGTGAGTGAGGATTTGTAAAAAATACGGCAATTTAAAGTGTTGCATAATCTAGAAAGTTTTGGTGTTAGATCTTTAATGTATGGTAGCACTGCGAAACTAGTTCTGGAAATTGATGGAATGTCTGAATCATTAGGAGGATTGTCATTGTTATTGGGATTGTTGTTATCATTGTTATGTGACAATGGTATAGCAGCGGGAGAGCTGAACAAGATTCTGTTTGTCAGGTATTTTGGGTAACCATTATTCGTGAAAAGTGTTGAGAGTTTGCGTAAGTTTGAAAGATGGAAAGTACTGTCAAAAATGCTAGTGACCCTTGTTTTCATTTGTTTCATCAGATTTATCTCTATCTTAAGTTTGTTGTAGGATCTGAAATTCAGGAATCTGCCTGACGCCATAGGCTTCATGTACTAGTCTATCATTAAGATATTATTATTTCGGATGATTTTTGAGTCCAGGAAAGGAACAGATTGATTATCATCTTCTTTTTCTATGGTGAATTGGATGTAGGGGTCATAGCTGTTAAAAACATCTACAATATCCTCCAAACCTTCAAACGGTAGGCAAACGATTATGTTATCTATAGTCAACGCCAAACAAAGTGGCGTGCACGTCATCAAGGTGGGTGTGTTGAAAAATTTACATTGTTGCCAAACTTTTTGTAAAATAATAAAATTTATTATTTACATATCTAGGTTTATAAGCAATATTAACCTCAAATGAGAACAAAAATAATAGTATAATAAAATTATAGATCTGTACTTGCATAATCATTAAGTATGACAATTATTGATCAGATGACACTATGAAACTACCATATTTAATTGATAGCTTAAAGGTACTGAATAAAAATCCAAATGGGGTCCTCCAAATTTTATGCATGGTATTTATTTTACAGAATTCATACAGAAAAATGCATTCTAAAATTAGGTAAGCTACTGGTGTAAGCTTTTTCTGTACAATAAAGTTAGTCGGAGTTTCTTTCTTCAGCGCTGTCTGAATCTGAATCTTCATCACTCTCAAAGTTGATTATTAAAGGTTCGATGTCTGGTCGATCAAAAATTCGTTCTCTTTCATACCATTTAAAAATTTCTTGCTCAGTATGTCGAACACTATTTTTCCACATGTCTGGGGTAACCGTTTGTAGAGCCTCGTTCCACATATCCAAACAGTCTTTTTCACTGTTACCATCTCTGCCAATATGTCTGTTATAGTAACCTTTTGCTATGCCCCAAATTAACTCAATAGGGTTAAATATACAATGGTAAGGAGGCAGACGAAGAACTTTGTGCCCATGTTGTTCCACCAATTCATCAATCACGTATATTTTAGGTGGTTTGTTTCTAAAAAAGCAGTTATTTTAAGAATAGGAATAAACAAAAGAAATATAAACTGTCGACCAAAATATATATAATTAAGAAGCATTATGTACCGAGCAACAATACTCAATAGCTCTGTTTTAAACATTGTGTTTAAAAATGGTATGTTTTGATTTGTCAACCAGTCTTGGATATTTTTTTTTGTCCATGCATTGTTGGGCACTTTGTTCAATATCATGCTGTGATAAGGGGCGTTATCCAGTATAATCATAGATGGACTCTCCAATTTTTCTAATAACTGATGTTGAAACCATTTCAAAAAATTGTCCTGATTCATCTCTCCATGGTAATCGCTCAATTTTGTTTTCGAAGAAAATATCGCTTCACTACCCTCAATAAACCCATTTTCATTTCCAGCATGTAATATAATGTATCTAAAATATATTAGTTTTAAATTTTATAGTGCAAATTGTGTAAGAGTACATACCTTTTACCATCTGTTTTAATAGCTTTCACGCTTTTTTGGTTTCCATTTTGCCAAGAGCGACCTATGGTCCCATTTTGAAATATCCAAGTTTCATCGAGGAAGACAAACTGGTATAAGGCCTCAACCTTGGCTTGATTTTATTGCCTTAGAAATTCCACCCTTTTCAAAACTATATTTGGTAGTTCCATGAGCCCTCGTCGCGGATTGTCCTTAAGCCACTTAAATCCAAGATCTCTAAGCAATCGCCTTAAAGACGTGGCACTACCATCAAATAATGCCCTATCTCTTAATCGAGACCATAAAGTTTGTATCGTAACTTGTTCTTCTGAAACCATGTGTAATATGACATTATAATTTAGTTAACAAATTAATGCAAATTTCTGATAAGTTATTATAATAAGATCTTACTTTTGTGATACATATTATAGATCACTTCTCGAATGGCACTTGTATCCAATGTCGCTGTGTTGGTTACACGTTTAATATAACTCCGCCTTTTCTTGGGCGATTCTAAATTTGCATCACTTTTCACACCCTCGGAAATACGACTAACTATCCTTAAACTAATTTTTAAAGCAGCAGCAACACGCTACAAAAAATGAAATAAAATTTCACTATTATTAATATACATTACATATAATTATTAGTAACCTACCTCTTGAACAGCATTTAAAGGCAACAAAGGCCCGTTGTTGTCCCTTTCTTGCTCAAAGTAGTGCATTAACGAGGCCACGAGTTCCTTACACCGACTATTTAACTGTTTGGGCATCTTTATATACCAAAATTGCCTTTATCTACTCGTAAAATGAATAATTTTGTTTTGAAACAAACAGTTGTTGATTTACAGTA